CAGTAAGGTATGGTCATAGCGGTCAAAGGTCAAAAGTTTCCTTTTTAGCAAGAGGGCGCCATTCATGCCTTATTACAGAATTTGCACGCGTAAATCGCGGAGAACGCTATCTTGTGTTTATAAGATCTTTGGTTTAAGTTGGTTTAAGTTAGGGGTGAGGGCGTTTTCTAAGCACATGTTAATGTATTGCACTTGATTTTATCTTTAAGTGTAACTTATGCATGTGATACGTCAAATAATATCTGGAATATTCCACACGTACAAGTGTTGATGTTTCAACGTGTATTTAATGTGTACATTGTGCCATCGCTGAGTGTTATTACCAAACTGTCTTTAAATGCATAGAGCCTGAATTTGTGCTCTTTAACAATTTGCAAGCTATAAAGAAGAACAATTATTTTTGATGTAAAAAGACAAACTAATTTACAAGCTCTGTCAAAGCTTTTGTACACCAGCTCATGTCACCGTCAGCAAACATTGGCATACGTTAATACGCGTCAATATGTGATTCATAGCCTAGACTTATGAATGGAACAGCGTTCAACAGGGTTGCTCCAAACGCGTTTACATTGCAAACCAAACTTTAAAAACGGGTTAGATTTAAATAACTTAACGATGATTGTTTAAAGAGCATCATTAATTTGAGGCACACATTTTATGTCAATACCTCCAAAGTTCATTTTGTAAATCTAGCCTGTCCCTGAGGTACTTCAACACCTGCATACCTAGCCCCATCAACGTATCGTGTTTTACACTGTTGGTTATTGTATATTATATTTAATTAGGCCTGAGTTGACATGAGAAGAGACTTTAAATTTTAATTTGACAGTAAGGTTATCTTGTATCTTTTTTTTTTGTGACATAGGCCTTGCCCAGCAAGATGTACTTTGAAAACTCACTCTAGTATAATTTGATGGAGAAATTGGTTCATTGAGGCAATAATAATTACTGTTGTTTCCTAGATTACCAAACTGTTTAGTTTTGAAAATTTAACCCAATCAATCATTTTGATGAATTACTTCGCTTAAGGGCATACCGGTGAATAACATAATATTAGAGTCCATTATTATAATAACAAACTGAATCTAAATACTTATTCTATGTGCATTTGTAATGCCTTACATTTTTATAGCATTTATATAAAAAATAAACTATAAACATTTCTGTATGTAGGCCTATGTGTTTTTATTATTAGAAACAACAATACATTTATGTTGATCCTAACTGCTTGATAGTATGAGTGTTCTATTATGTACAGCCCTTAATAGAATACATTAGGCCTGGACCATACACTTAATTATAATTATGTCAACTAAATTGGTTGCTAATAGTAATTGAGCGTTGTCTGAACCTGAAACCATTAAACAATAATATTATGTAACGATTAAATGTGAACATAAAATAAGTTAACGCGTTTGTATGTCTCAAAATCAAATTATAATGGCTGCATTGCTTAAATATTCAGAATAATTATGTATTATACCATAGTATTATTCACAATTATTTATTTTTGTTAAACTGTTACTAATTTGGCCAAGAATAGAGTATATTCTATTAAATAGGCCTAATAATAATACTAATAATAATAATAATAATAATAATAATAAAAACGATAACTGATTGGTATGAGTCAACATGATTAAGTAACTTTTAATGTAAGAGTGTCGTATAATTTTTAAACAATGTTAATAATTACTCCAAAATATGGGCGTTCTATCTATGTGTAACAATTGGTAATGTTCCTGATATCAGCTCATATAATTATGTTTGGTCTGACTATTGACATTCAAAAACACAGATACAAAGGCACACCGTACAATACAGTTCTATAACTAAGGCAGTCACTTCATAAAGTGGATACCGTCGCCTTATGCTTGAATACAGTACCAAAAATACACAGGCCGTGTATGATGGGCGAAACCGTACCTTCAATGAAATAATGGAATCGCCCGTCACATTCAGCCACATTATTTTCTTGAGTGCTGCAGCCTACCCTCAAGAAAATAATGGAATTGCCCTATTCAGGCCTATTGTTTTCTTGAGTGCTGCCTGAATGCGAGGGGCGATTCCATTATTTTCTTATGTTCGAGGGTAAAGAAAATCGGATTTCCGGAACTTTGGCCTTGTCCTTTGACCTATTCTTCCGAAAATTGAAAGGGGTCTTTCTTTGATTATTATATACCATTCCACAAAATTGTATAATGATCCATTCATTAGTTTTTTGCCTAATCCTGCTAACAGACAGACAGACAGACAGAAAGACACACTGACTGACAGGCAGATAGCAGTGAATATTCAATACTGTTATGGTTACTATGTTAACACCATTGTTCTATTACAAAAAAAATAATTTTAATATTTAACTTATAGATAAAATAGGAATCACATGATTTTGTGCTTTGAGCACCGCAGTACTCCATTAGAATTCGAAAACATAAATATACGGGTGATAAAAATGAACTAATATTTATAAACAGATTCCGGCATAAGTGCTTCTTTTTTGGCAGCATAAGTGCTTTTTCGTCAACGATTTCTTTTCCTGTTCACTCGAAAATACCATTTTACACTGGCTGTTATTCTGCTCAAATCGTGTTTTGTGGTTGTATTCTTTGAATAGAGATAGCGATTGGGTACAGTATGCCGAAAACAAAACCAAAGGCTCGAGAGCTGGACCAAGAAGGTTTGTCTGCATTGCGAGGTGTTGATGTTTCGGACATCAAGATCCCAGATGACCTTGTAGAAAATGTGAGAGACCTTGCCAAATATGAATATCCATTTCGCAATCTCATATTTGGAGGTGGTGGTAATCGGCTATTTGCTTATACAGGATCTTTGCAGGTAATACTTAAAGTTTCATTAACACCGAATACGAATTTGTGAATTCGGAAAGCCTACAGAACCGATCAGAAAATCGAGTCAATGTTTAAGAATAGTGAGGCTGGCGTTTTATCGCATCGGAAACGCGGTCAAAGTTTTGGTTTTGATTCGATGTTAATGTAGCTTCATTCAGAATTATAATATCTGTCCTAGAGCAAAATCATTTTAATCAAGCTAAAAACCAGCCTTATAGTGATTTGAACAACAGACTAAAGACAGTGCTACTATGTGTTAGACGGGTTTTAATTAACATCCATAACTTCAAAAAGGGTCATATTCATACTAATACGGTAGCTCCATTAATAAATAAACCAGCGGAAACTTGATATTGGTTTTAGAATACCAGTGGGACAAATTTTTATTATGAAAATATTTGTACATCTTTGTCAAATAGTAGTTATTTTTTTTATTATGTCTATGCAAAACAAAATTTGTCAAGTAAAATATTAAACAAAATACATAAGCCTGATATTATAAATTAATGTTTGAAATATAAATCTACGTAGGCCTACATTGGTCTTATTCCGGGCAAACAGTTTACGTTATTTAAACAGTTATTAAACAGAAGCCTGTTGTTGTCCAAAGATTTCATCAACAAGAATTTTAATTGAGTACTACTGTTGTAGTACTTCACCAGAAATCTGGAATTCTTTTTACGTTCACAACTCTAAGCCCATGGATAGCTGTTGAATTTTGATATACAGTGTGGTTTATCTCAGCAAATATACAGTTGATTAGAAGAAAATCCCATATTATTATAATAATATTAGAGCGTGTCTTGGCAATAGATTATAATAACTATTCGTACAACTTAGGATTATGAAGTAATTCTTGTCAGAATTTGACCTATAGGCTTAATAACAAGACTTACTTAACGTACCAGTATTTTGTTTATAAATTGTTTTGAGTCAGGTGAATGACATCAAGAGGTTTTAATAATAAAAATAATCAGCTGGAAAAATATTACCGAAAGTGGTATCACGTTTCATAATTTAGCATCATTACCAGCATCTTTTATTTGACAAACAATGATAGATCAGCTGACTAGCGCCTAAGTGCGTTCTTGGGGCCCAGCCTCGATATATGTTTTACTACTACCCAGTAACACATACTGATACACGATCTGGTCCCTTGGTATGTCCCGTAGAAAGACGCTCAAAAAGAAGCAAATAAACAATGTAATTATATGAGGCTCCATGATGCTTCTTCGACTGAATGAATGCATTTTGGATACATTTTAAACAGGTAAATTAGAAATAGGCCTACCTATTACTATTAATTAGCGTATTATAAAAAAAAATACAGCTTGTATGTGTCTGGAAAATAGTCGTTTTTTCGAACCACAATGCCGATTTTATAATTAGTACTAAAAGCAATTTTTAATTCCAGCAATGACCTTTTTTCGACAGAATCATACCGAAATACCACGACATTTTTTCCCCTTGGCCGGGCCTCCACGACTCGTCGTTATTCCGCTTGATAGATCTATATATGATTAATAACCCAGAGGTCATTTTGTAAATAGATACTAATCTGAACTTTGTGTTGCAATAATACAACGTTATAGGCGATTATAATCTCTACGCCAGAGAGAAAACTTATTACATTTTGATATTATATGCATATTATCTTGCGTACTGAATGCATATTAAATTTATAGCCACATAGGAGACCTACTCTAGCATTAATGCGTAGTGGGGGAAGATGCTGAAACTGCTACCTCCTTTAAATATTGTATTTGCTATTTTTACGTTAAAATTTTACATTAAATTTATAGTACACGTGAGGAGTAATTACGTTTATATTATATCGATCTACTGTTTTCTAAAAAACAAACGCCAAAGATATGTTTATAAACCCTTATAACAAGGCTTATGGAGGTGTATAAAAATGTTTTTTTTGAACATTTCGAAATTTAAAAAAAATATTGATGTTTATTAAGAATAAAATTGTAAATAAAAACAGAAGAGTGGATTAAAAAAACCTATTCTTTCTACTGATTTTGACTATTCTTGATGTTTGCTATTTACGTTGTTTTTTCTGATATTTTCAAATAACATTTTTTTTCTTTGTAAATATTAACGGTATGTAAACAAATTCTGTTTTTTACAAGCTTTTATTCAAGTGAAAGAAATAATATTAAGTTGAAAATAAATATTCAGAGGCCTTAACTGTGGATAGAAAGTAATAATTCACAGCGTGTTACATTTTAAGCGCATGGCCACCGGTCGTTGGATAGCACTGTTCGCGTTGCTAATCACCTTATGATTTTTAAATAATTATACGAGATTAAATCAGGGTACCTGCTCTCAAGATAAAGAAGTAGCCGATATTCTATCAAACGTCATCAATTTGTACTTAAAATAGAAACCGATGTATCTTTCATCTTAGTTTCCCCAGCGATTGGTTTTCATCAGTTTATCATTGTAGTTTATAAGGCATAACATCATGATAGATTGACTTCTTGATGCATTCACAATTCTGATGAAGCCTAAAGACAAATTGTAGAAATGTTATTTAAAAAAGTTCAAAGGGTGCACGCAAAATAAAGGGAAAGAAACAGGAAATTCCTATTTAACATACTTGTTCTTTCGGCCTGTGAATATCACACCTCATTTCCTTATCGGTCTACGTATATACCCATCATCATTTGCTTGCATCAGCTAATACTACGTCAAATGAACAGAAGCCTTGTTATTTTTAATGTATTTGGTCATGAATTTTATAATGTATCTATAATTAATTTTGATAATTATTTAAATAAATGGGATTTTGTTCCACAGAAAAATGTCTGTACTCTGAGAGAAACAAGGGTTTTTTTTTTCTTGTTATCTAAAGGTCTATTTACCTCAGGGTACAGTGAATTGTTGATTTTCTGTAAATGTATTATTATTATGAAATGTAAAAGAAAATGTCCACTAACAACATTTAAAGAGCGATCACACATGTGAACAGGGCTCCTATTATACAAGATGAAAATGTACAAGTTAGATTTGTATGCAAGCTATAAACACAACGAGTTTTTAAGTAGGGGAAACCCACTTAGTTCTAAAAAAAATGTTAAACAACTACTATCAACAAACGTCAAATATTAAGTACTGTAATTTACCCCTGCTATTTCCCCGGCTATATTCCCCCAGTATTTTTTCTATGTATTTTCTCTCCTAGATTTCCCACTGATTAATTGTTTTCATCAGTTTATATATTCATTATACTTTATAAAGCATATAATATTATTTGTTTTTATTTTTGCTTTTTTTTTCTCTCTCTGTATGCAATCAATTTATTGGTTGACTTCTTGATGCATTCGCAATACTGATGTGAAACGTCATTTTTGAAAGCTTGCATCCGGGTTCACATATGAAATAGAGGAAAGAAGGGAGGAAATCTGTATTTAACATACTTCCTCTTTTTGCCTGTGAATACCACACCTATTTCCTAGTTGTTCTGTATTTACCCATATTTGCCAGCATTAGCTAATACTCCGGCAAGGAGGGACACCATTATTTCTGGTAAGGAGCGAGAGATTATTACAGTGCCACGTCTGTCTCTCGTCTACAGTACTTTTGCGCTTAGTGGCCATTAATGATTCTCTTCTACGATTATACAACTGATTTATTTCAACTTCTTTGTTATGGTTGTTGGTAGCAGAACAGGCCTATTTCATTAAATATAATATTTCAATATACATAAAATGTAGAATTGGAAATTGTCAAACATTACAACAATTAAGAACCAGGGCAACAGATTGACAATAGACTGCTATTTCTACCTACAAATGTATTCATACATAATACGTTAGCATTATCACTAGACTTTTCGCGTCCTAACTTGATTGAAAACGGTAGATATAGGCCCTTATGGCTCTGGTTCTGGTGGATAAAGCCGACCTGCTAAGGACTCCAAAAGTGTAGGAGTAAACAGGAGGGGTAGAAATAGTGTCGAATGATCCATCACTGCTGTTAAGACTCGCAGCGTCAGTCACGAGCAGGCTTGCCTTACCGTCATAGACCGCATTAGACCCGACGATCATCGGCTTTGCGAGGAAAACCACATTTGGTAGTGAAATCTCGGAGCGTTTAAGGCCAACTCAGACAGCGTCGGCCGACGCAGCCCGACCCGATTTATCGTCGGGGACAGTCTTAAGCCGTCGTGAGAAATATTAAACACGTTTAATATTCTACTACGCGATGTGTATAAGAGACAGATATTCTACTACGCGACTGCCCCCGACGCACACCATCGCGTCTGCGTTCAACTCACACAGACCCGACGCGACAACAAATCGCGTCGGGCTGCGTCGGCCGACGCTGTCTGAGTTGGCCTTTAGAGGTAGAGCAAACGAAAACGATACCTCCGAAGCAATAGGGAAAACATAAGGATGTTAGAGTAGCATAACTAGTTAAAGTACACTGGGTTACCTTTATCTATAATTTGTTAATTTTATTATTTATAAAATAGTTATTATTTAAATTATTGCATTACCCATAACTTCATACAACAGAAGAAAATCGCTGTGAACGTTGTGCCTAGATTATATTAAAAATAACATTAACACAACGTTGCAGAGCAACATTTTCAATGTTTAGTCTGAAAATTGCATTATAAAAACGTGTTTATGATTCTACAAAAAGGTTGTTATAAATGTATTATAAAGTAAATTGTTAGATGGAATTGATCTTCCCTTTTATTTTTTCAATACAACCAGAGAACACAAAAGAATATAGAATACATTATACAGAACTTCCGGTACGGTATTAAGCCTAATATAATATCAACCTTCCTTTCATCTACCTATCTGTTTATACTGTTATACCACTGATGGACGGATGGGTGACAAATGGTTTCTGTGGTTCTAATTGACTGATTTTCAATCATTATTTTATACTCATGAAATAAATATCAAATTATTTGCTTTGAATTTAAGGTTCTTCAGGATGTTGGCATTTTGCCCAACATCAAGCGACTGGCTGGAACGAGTTTAGGAGCACTTACGGCGTGTTTCGTTGCACTTGGACTTTCACCATTCCAGCTATTAGTGGAAGTGGAGCAAGCAAGACGTAAAATTCAGAAAATGTTACTAGGTAAAAACAAAGAGTACAGAAGAGAAAGGGGCTTGACTTACGAAATGGAGCGATGCTGGACTACCACGAGTTAGCGGGCGTCCTACATATTAATTAAAGATCTAATTTTTCGATGGAATGGATCGGGTTCCAAAAAAAAAAAAAATTCAAGAGTCGGACTTCTTTCCATTTATACTATTTGGCTACGTTCAGACCTCAGATACACCTGGGGTAACTAACGCCAAGCATACGGTTATCCCTGCGTAACTGCGAGTTGTCCAGACTGGGTCATTAACGTGTGGTAAGGCTGCCTAATTTATTCGCGAGAAATACAAACAATTTGTAATCTTGCATTTTATGTCCTGTTTGCATCTAAGCTTATGTGATTGGTCAAATCCTGATTAGGTTCAAAACCATTGGTGCATGACTGTCGTAACTTAATGGCGTAATAGGCCCTAAAATACTGGCGTCCCCTACGCCAAGCACAAGTTCACACCACTCGAATAACATAATATATAAGTAGCATGTATGTAAATTAAGTTAAGTAATAATGACACTAAATTATAAATCAATTGTAAAGCGCCAGTCCGATATCTCTCTGAAAGAGTACAGTATGTCAGCAGCGTATTTAGTCAACTGTTTATCAGTCAATGACAGCCAGATATTCCTGTCATGGCAGATGCACGATGGGGTATCTTTAGTCTGTATTCAAACTTAAAGGCTGATTACGGTTGGCACCCGGCCAGTGGCTACACTAAGTGGTTACAAGAAAATATAGAAGATTATTCTGGAAATGGCCAACTTACGTTTAGACAGGTAAGATAGACGTTCATGATAATTAACAATCATAATTTATGTTGTTATTTCAACAGAGGCCTATATTTTGATTTTTAACCATACCATACTATACCATACCATACATGTCCGAAACTCTTGTACCTCGTGTCTTTGACAATAAAATATAATACAGTAGTATTGTTTCGTGTAAGTATCACTTATCGGGTTCCGGCACGTTGCCACCCTGGCCGTTGCCACCCGGCATTTGCCGCCCGGCCCGTTGCCACCCGGCCTTTTGCAACCCCTTCTGCCACACTACCTTTCGCCAGCCTAGGCCCGTTGCCACCCTGCATTTTACCACTTGTCTTTTGCCACCCTAGGCCTGTTGCCACCCATGCCCGTTGCCGTTAATTTTATGGCACACATTTCCTTTAAAATTATTGGTTTAAGGACGCTTTATTACAAACTATAATTTCTCATGAGAAATAAGGTTTAGGATAAATATTAGTAGATCTAGATTAAAACTGATAATTCTCATCTTTAGTGCAACACTACAAAAATACTGTAACACCAACCCTTCCGACCGTTTATACCACAAGGGCTATTGTTCACGGTATATATAGGTCCTTAACCCTAATTTGCTTGGCCTTCATTGGGGGAAATGTCCATGGTTCAACTGACCAAATTTTGTTCAGTTGGAGATTTCCCCACCCATCTTCTTCATATTGGTTAATATACCACCAAATGTTATTTTTTGTTGACCAAAAAAGAAATACACCGAAAGATATAATAAATTATAGAGTCATATCCGTCGATGAATGAGCACCTTTCATTTTATAACACTTCATGTGTTTTAATTGATTAAAAATTGTTTAAAAAAAAGGGAAAAAAACTATACTCACATTAGAAAATAAACACACCACTCATTCACCTAACTAAATATATACTCGAAGACAGAATAAATACATACATACACACACGCATACCATACATCTGAATACAACTATTAAAAACATCATACGCTAATTAGGACTTCTTCACGCATATGATTTTATAACCGCAAAGAATTGACTTGTTTAAATTATGTATTTAACTTTATCAAAGCAATCAATCCATTCATCCTTCAGTGCACATGTTGTGGCAAAAATGCCGAAAGTGAAATTTCCGAGAATAAATACAATTATGGGTGGCAACGGTCCTAGGGTTGCAACAGGCCGGGTGGCAAAAGGCCTAGTGTGGCAACGGACCCGGTGTCAAAACGCCAGGTGGCAACGAGCCTAGGGGCAAAAGGCCTGGTGGCAAAATGCATTGGTGGCAACAAGCCGGGTGGCAACAGGTCTACGGTGGTAACAGGCCTAGGGTGACAATGGCAAAAGGCCAGGAGGCAAAAGGCCGGGTGGAAACAGGCCGGGTGGTAAAAGGCCGGTTATCAACGGGCCAGGTGGTAACGGGCCTAGAAAGAATAATATCGTGTATAAAATTAAATTAGCTTTCATTTAAGATACAGGTCCTTAATAGGACAAATTATACAGTAGCAAAAAATAAACTCAGTTTCGCTTGTTGGGCCATTTTAAATTTCCACACGATTTTCATCTTTACGAGTTCTGTCCATGCAAGTCTACAGAACCTTAAATAATAAAACTAAATTTAGTAATTTTTTAGTTTTAGGAAGGATATAAACTTCATACTGTATCAAAACAAGTTTTAATATGAAGTAGCATTTGTGAATGCCTTTCTTTTTTCTGATACACATCATTGTAAAAGAAAAATATAAGAAATATTTAAATACATACGGTACGAAAAACAACAAACATAAAATAACAGAAAAAGGGTTATTTTCTTTCAACAGCTGTATGAGACTACTGGCATAGAGTTGTGCTGTGTTGCTACCAATCTTAACCTTATGACAGCTGAATACTGCCACGTGAAAACCACGCCAGATCTGCCGATAATTGTTGCACTGAGGATGAGCATGTCCTTACCAGGTAAGTCTTGATTTGAATATTATATCTAGATGTGTGTATATATATAGAACTATATATACACTGTTTCTCGTATGTGCATCTAATACTGGTGTTGTGTTGGCCTACTATGGGGGGGGGGGTGGTGGGCAGATGGTTTAGGCATCTCCATAGACAGCAGAGAAAATCCCGGGTTTGAATTCAGGTTTACAATTTATATATTGATATGTACGTATTTAATCGTAAATATTAGAAAGGTTCTAAAGCCAAAGACACGTTTGATTGGTTTTCCAATGATTAATCATTGAAGTTCGAATACTTAACGCTTCTGTTATGTGGCATGTGAAACCACAAACCACAACGTTGAGGATGTAATGTCCCCTGAAAATGACAAACAATCATCTATAATTATAATTACACTTATTTGAAAGCCTATGGACACGATGCAAAACAGAGGTCATCAATATATGCTACGATCTGAAAACTATCGGCCTGAAAAACTTAACAACATAGATCATAGTGTTCGATAACAGGAAGTGAATATCATTCCATATTTCAGAATAATTGATTAAAAAATAATGAGTTTTATCATCGTTTTTCACACGACAGGTAAAATTAATAATAATATGGATAAACAACAACAACAACAAAAAACTAATTTAAAGTTGATAATTATATGTTACTTAAAAATAAGCAAGTTTATTTAAACAAATATTTTTGATATTTTATTGGTATTTTTCTTGGAACAATGGCCTACATTTGTAATAATCCGAACGTTAACATGGCCCAGCCCCCTCCCTCCCCCCCCCCATATTTTGGGCAGAAAATATATAATGTCTATGGAGATTTTTGTATGAACGGAAAGAAATGCAAGAAAAGAAAGAGGGAAGGAGGAGAGGGAGGGGAAAAAGAATGTTTATCCAGTCCCCCGACCGAGTTAGATATTCCTTCCAATTCACATTGGCGAATCTGGCGGACCAGGGGTCCTGACCCCCCCCTTCCTTGTGAAATAAAGAAAAGAATTATATACCCACGTGATTTGTTAGAATTAGAAAATTCAGTTTTTAATATTGTGTTTTAATATACCTTTTTTTATTTCTTCCATTTTATCATTTTAATTTGGTTCTATGTCTGGTGCTGTGCTTTTTATCCATTGCTTCTTTTTTATGTTTGTGTTGTGAATTTCTTGAATTTTGGTGTTCTGTTTTTTAATCTTTTTAAGCACTTATTGTAATACACTCATATACAGTCTTTTGCCTTTCTGTTTGTATTTTTTTTATTTATATTTTTATCTGAATAAAGAATAAAGACATTTGAATACAAAATTAGAAGTGGGAAAGCTCATTTCCCGCCATCTAGGAATTAACATTGTCTCGGAGGAGGACCCCAGACCCCCTTTATTTTTGGGGTTTCGTCGATTCATGGAAAAAAAATATACGTATGCATTAGTATGTATACCGGTACACACATAATAGGCCTATTTACTGTAATAAGAATGAAACAAATTTACCTGAGCGTTCAACAAGGGGGAAAACCTTGAAATTTGAAGAACTTAAAATTCATTAAAAGACACTTCAGAAGAAGCTCATTTCCCGCCATTTAGAAATCAACATTTTCCCGGGGAGAACCTGAACCAGCCTTTCTCTTTGGGGATCATTGATTCAGAATCGTTTTCAAGAGGGGAACCTTGAATTTTGAACAGGGAACAGTGAACACTGTTCCCTGATTTTGAAGAACTTAAAATCTAAAAGATATTTCAGAAGTTCAGAAAGCTCATTTTCCGCCATCTAGAAATCGAGATTTTTCCGGGGGTAACCCGGACCCCTTTCTCTTTGGGGGTTAATCGATTCATTGAATCGTTTTCAATAGGGGAAAACCTTGAATATTAAGAACTTAAAAATCATTAAAAGACACCTCAGAATTCGGGAAAGCTCATTTTTCCCATTCAGGATTCAGGAATCAAAATTTTTCTGAGGTAGGACCCCCCCCCCCCCACCTTTCCTTTTTGGGATTTATCGATTCATGTAATAAGAATACGTATGCAATCACTCAATTTTTGTAATGATATACACATAAGGCCTACCGGTATTTTACTGTAATAAGAATGAGAAAAATTTACCTGACCGTTTTCAAGAGGGAAAACCCTTGAATTTTGAACAACTTAAAAGCCATTAAAAAATGTCGGGAAGCTCATTTCCCGCCATTTAGAAATCAACATTTTCCCGCGAAAAATCCGAACCCCGCTTTCTCTTTGGGGTTCATTGATTCATGGAATCGTTTTTCAAGAGGGGAAAACCTTGACTTTCGAAGAACTTAAACGTCATAAAAAGACACCTCAGAAGTCGGTAAAGCTCATTTCCCGCCATCTAGGAATCAAGATTTTCCCGGGGGAGAACCCCTGAATCCCCCTTTCTCTTAGTTTACCGATTCATGGGAAAAATAACATGTATGCAACTACTAATTTGTTTATGTATGTATATACACATAACATACCTATTTACTGTAATAAGAATGAGAAAGTTTGCCTGACCGTTTTCAAGAGGTGAAAAATCTTGAATTTTGAAGGACTTTTAAAGTCTTTAAAGTCATTAAAAGACACCAGCTCAAATTTGGGAAAGCTCATTTCCCGCTATCTCGATAGGAATCAAAATTTTCCCGGACCTCCCCTCCACCCCCCCTTCCTTTTTGGCGTTCTTAGAAAATATGTTGGCCCCCACCCCCTAAATTTGAACCAATTCATATTCCCATTCATCTTACTAGTGCCCATTCTCCACTTTGAAAAACGTTCCGCCGGCCCTGGATAATGATCATTCAAGGTTGAATTTTTTACGTTTGTCTGTTGGTATGTGGTATGTAGTTAAAAGTGTCAAGAAATATTAAACCAGGATATACTTCCAAAATACATTTCCTTCATATTTTAATGTATTGTGTAATTTCTAATGTGTTTTTTTTCTGACCGCCAGCTCTTCTGTGTGCCGTGAAGTACAACCTGAGAGGCCAGGAAGATATATACGTTGATGGTGGGCTGTTGTGTAATTTCCCTATACATGTATATGACGGTATGGCTCTATTCTTCAACATAATAGTTGTAGCGTAAATGAGAAACTTCGCCTGCTGAAAGCTGTTTGTCCTCGTCATAAGGCTTGTCGAAAACATTAATACATAAGCAAAACAGGGAAGAGTAATTATTACTATTAATAGCCAACACTTTTTTTTTTATAAGAACCAGTAAACTTTTGCCCAGGCTCAGTGTTCTTAGCTTTTTGCCGATTTCATGCTTAACATTTTCTTATTTTTTTCTTATTTTACACATTTTTCAAGCATGAAAATTATTATTGTGCAGTCAGTATATTTCTGTACTGTATTATATAGGGCTCCACTCTTATAAGCCGTGGCTCGGTAAGAATTCACTTTCATAGCCTACTAATTATTAATATTATCATTATCATTATCATTATTATTATAGGTCTACTTTTGTGTGTCTACTATTATTATTATTATCATTTTCATAATCATCATCGTTATTATTATTATTATTATTATTATTATTATTATTATTATTATTATTATTATACAATAAATTTAGACAAAAAGTTCCACTATTTCGCAAAATAGTCTATTTTCTCCTTTTATTAAAAAGTTCCACTATTTCACAAAATAGTCTATTTTCTCCTTTTATTACCTTACTTTTGATAAAATTCAGCAATCAGTCGTTAGTTTGATATTTGTCTTTGTACACCCCATCAAATTGTATGTGACAATCAACTGTGGTATGCCCATATTTGGATGTAAAATGGCATCATGTCCAAATATGGGCATATCACACATATTTTTCCCCATAAAATTTGATAGTCTAAGGTAAGCTTAAGATAACCAATAAAAAGACATTTATTTACAAATAACTGAGGCCAATATTGATATTATGTGTTTACATAAATTCTTACTGTTCTATTAAAAATCGTCTACTTGTAGGTTGGTGGCTGTCAATGGAGGAAGAGAATACCTTTTTTAAACGACTCAGGCCAGCAGAGGATATCCACAAGCTCTATAGCACCAAAGAACGGTTCAAAGAAAAAAACAAAGAAACACTGGGTGTGTGTCTAGTGAGTATTGTCATTTGAGTTTAAAGTTAACTTAATGCTTATAGAAACACAAAAACTATTGTAATGACGATAACAACGATGATAATCATCATACAAAAAGAATAACTATAATAAGGATAATATATTATTCAAGGGTTATTTCTAAAATTGTAATCACTGCAAACGTTTACATAATTTCTTACATTGTTATCATTATCAATTACTGTCAATCATCACTATCAATTATGATCATGAATTTATTATTATTATCATTATTATTATTATTATTAGTATTGTAATTATTGTTGTTATTCTTACTATTATTATTTTTTCTTATTATTATTATCATTATTATAATATTTATTATAAAAACGTAAATTAATTACTTTATTTTATTTTCATTCCACAATCATATAAACGGAATCGGACTGAGAATATATTTTAGTACGAAGTTTAGGCATTGAAAGCGCTTAGCATTTTAATTATAATGCTTGTCATAATGATAATAGTTAGTGAGTACCCTGGTGTAAATCGAAGCACTAACTGTTAAAATAAGCAGTTTAAAAAAAATGTCAAAATGGATACACCACAACTCATGGGTTTGTGTTAATTCATGGTTGTCGATAGGTTTTATACTCGGAAAAATCTTTTATTGTTTAAATAAGTTTTGTTAACAGTATACTAATTAATTCGTTGCTCACATCACGAACTAACACAATCAGAGTAGATTGTGTTAGTTCGTGAAATCACAGTAGCGCGTCAAATCGAGCGCGTATTGGTTGTCAAGCAATTTTGTATTCTTTACCACACAAAAAGTCATTAACGACAACAGCGCGTATTTTGACGCGCTTTTTTTATTTCACGAACTAACACAATTGAATTTAATTGTGTTAGTTCGTGATGTGAGCGACGAATCGTTTGATAATTTAAGCCTAGCCGGCACTCACTGCGCCCGATGGTCGTCGGCCGGCGCGATTCTATGGAGAACGCAGCGCCATGACAAACTGCAGACAGTGTCGTTTCGTCTAGCGCTTAAATGAAGCGGAGTTGGTTTTGGCGGCCGACGGTCGTGCGACCGTCGTACGACGCAGTAAGTGTCCGGCTTTAGACGTCATGCCAACTTTATGTTTTCTTGATTTTAATTTCTGTGAGAAGTTCACGGAGAGTGAGTCGAGTCTGATGCAAATTCAATTTAAAGAGAGATATCATGGAAAATATGCTGAAGTTCCAGATACTAAACTTGCAAGGTAATATTCTGAAAATTATATTCATATGAATATAAAGATGTTGGTGTCATTTTAAAGTTACAATTTTAAGTACTAAAATATGTGTCATTTAGCATAATGAAAACTTTATCCCTATTTTTAACAAGCTCAGTCACATAAATATGAGCTACATCGTATGTATAAACGCACTCACGTGACTGTAAACCACACTAAATTTTGTAGGCCTATCTGCTATTCGCTTAAAGCGCTTAACGTCGACCAACACTACCAAACAGGGTACAACGGATTTTTAATGAAAAAACTTGGAAAACGTCCTATGGTTGTCGAGTTATGTAAAAATGCAGTTAGTATACTAAAAAACACTCTAATTTTAGCCTTTTTCCTGTACAAATCAAACGTGGTCTTTATTACGGCTTGAGTTTTTTATGCAATTATGTTTAATTATCATTATTTTATTTTTTATTGGGCCTTCCATACATACAAAAGTTACTGTATTGTTTGTGAAGAACGGCAGTCGTTGATGAAGAAATTTGTCTTCAATTTTCAGTTATTTCAGGCGTATCCGCAAATGACTTCAAACCGGATGGTAACTGAAAGGCAACTCCATGGTAACCGTATGGTATCGGTTTGCAGTTTGTCTTAAATAAAGTTGTTTGAAAGTTATCAACCGTGTTGCAAGTTTTGTAATCTACGCCTCTCGTGTGACTGGAGGTCACAGTCTTAACTTCGAAAGAAAATGACGACTCAATTTTGCATTGACTGTAAAAATATATAAATGATTACAAAGCTCAAGTTATCTAGTTTTATAATCCGATCACCCCAGATTGTCAAATGAATCAATTCAAATTATATTATTCACAGGACTAGAGAAAATTGGGTCCTGTTGAAAATCTCTTAACATTTCGCGCTTAGACCGGCGGTGTTAATCAACAACTGTAGACTGCAAACGAAATTAACAAACAAAATCGACAAGCAGTTTCAGACTTTTAGGCCAGAGATTGCTATGCTCAAATAATTAATAATATTTTTTTTTAAACAAATATTTGATTATTATTTTTAATTATTAATTTAAAATAGAGAACGGAAAGATATAATTCAGAGGACGAGTACAGCTGCTGAGGCTAGTGTTGCACTGACCACAGCGTTTGTCAAGTTCTTCGAGGTGATAGAGGTTTATGACAAAGACAATAATGGAGGCCTTTCTATTGAAGAGTTCAAAGCCTTAGTGAAATGTGTAAGTTAAGATGTATTGTCCCATAAAAAATACCAAAAACTATCATAAAAATAGTATTCAAGATTAAATTGCTCATTTTGAACTAACATAAAAATGACTAACTTGAACACAGAGGATCTAAACAATGTTTACTCATAATTTTAACAGCGGAATATGGTAGAAACACTTCCAGTCACTGAGTGTGTTTTTATATTTTTTCTTATCCAATATAAAAACAACTGTACATACTATTTTTTTTAATTCAATAATTTCTATGTTCAAGTTAATAATTTGTATGTTACTGCATAATGAGCAAGTTATAACTTCAAAATTATATTTTATAATTTTTTTTTTGTCATTTTTAAGAACAATACACCTTTAATCAATACACCGGCGGAAGATACTGATCTATGTATATTTGAGAATGATCATTTCTTCTTGTCCCATGTTAAGTATCATAACCAGACAGTCGAGCAGTATTAGCATGGCTCGCTTAATAATTTTTTGTGCTCTCTGGATAGAATATTTTCAATCATTTCTTCTAGGGAGGTGCTGTATTTCATATAAATATATTAAGTCAGTTATTTTGAAATTGAAAATTCCCATCAATATTCGATAGTAAGGAAATGTGTAATTCCAAATGTCGATGTAGAAGCAGAACATAAATACATTTTATAAAAAAAACACAACTACTTCAAACCTTATCATAGGCGAGTGCCTATATTTAATACAATGGGTTTTACTGCCCCTAATTTTCAGTTTAACACAGATAGTCTATGAGGCAGAAGCAATCAACATTCATCGCGAAATATTTTTAAATTTTTCGTATTTTTTCTGTACTAATGGGTATGGGGAAAAGAATGAAAATGGTAGAAGTCTTAGACCTACTTGTTGCCCTAAAATATATTAGATATTTATACCTTCAGTTTATTTTTGTTGTTATGTCTATAATTTTTTTTTTTTTTTTTTTTTTTTTCATTTTTTATTTTTTTTATTGTTTCAAAATTAAATTCTGTTTAATGCTGTATTTCATATAAATATATTAAGTCAGTTATTTTGAAATTGAAAATTCCCATCAATATTCGATAGTAAGGAAATGTCTAATTCCAAATGTCGATGTAGCAGAACACAAATACATTTTATAAAAAAAACACAACTACTTTAAACCTTATCATAGGCGAGTGCCTATATTTAATACAATGGGTTTTACTGCCCCTAATTTTCAGTTTAACACAGATAGTCTATGAGGCAGAAGCAGTCAACATTCATCGCGAAATATTTTTAAATTTTTCGTATTTTTTCTGTACTAATGGGTATGGGGAAAAGAATGAAAATGGTAGAAGTCTTAGACCTACTTGTTGCTGTAAAAGATATTTATACCTTCAGTTTATTTTTGTTGTCATGTCTATGATTGTTTTTTTTTTTTTTGTTTTTTTTTTACACCATTGACATTTTGTATCGTTCCAAAATAGAATACTGATGAATTTACCCATGAAGATTATTTCACATTGTTCGGAAAAGAAGATGCTAACACAGTGTTTAATAACATTGACAAGAACGGTAATGGAGTGGTAGGTTCTTAAGATATATATATTTTTTTAAAAACCCATGATTTTCTTGTTATGTATTATTTCATGAATCAGCTTTATTCAGAATCACGTTGCTGAAAGTTTTGTTTCAGCAAATTGAGATAAATTAGTTTAATAATAAGAAATATTTAATAATTATCATAAAGACAAATTAAGTAAAAACCATGATTATGCTGTAGGCCTATGATGTAATAGTATTGTACTATAAATTAACAAGAAACATTTAAGTAATATATAAAAAAAAATGTACTGATAATTAAATCGTGTTGTTTATTCATTATGGCTACACTCTCAAAATTGAGTCGCAATATATAAATTCTTATGTTTTCCTTGCTTTTGGGCAAGGACTGCATTGAAAACGTTGTAGCGACCATGTAGCCTGATTTTAACCAGGCTTCAGTACACTTCTTAATAGGACACATCATTAATTTCAATTTACACATCGTTTTCGATAGATACACACAAAGGAGATCTTGAATTACGTAGAGAGTAAGGGAATTCATATGATGGCCGAATTCATTGGTTACAAGCGACAGGAAATTAATGGGCTCGGAAGCTATTTGACTGCATTGCAAAATAGTGTCTTCAATCAAGCTATGCGAGAATTCGTTGAGGTGATGCATTGACTTTTGGTTGATACTTTTCGTTATAGTTGGTAAAGCCTGGCACTTGAACGATCGTCGTTGTGAGCGCTAGAGACGATTGTCAATGGCAGTCTGAACAGATAGGCGAATCATTAAAAACGATCCGTCGTTGCGCCCATGTTGTGGCGTTGTGTTCTTTATAGAATTTCGTCGGCCGACGCCTGTCGGGCGCATTTAGTGTCCTGCTTAAAAGTCATGATATCATTACTGTTGGTGATGACATTTTCTTAATGATAAATCTGATGGGCAGACGCGACACCACATGACAAGGTTTTCATTCGTCAAAAAAACTGTTAGAATAATATTATGTAACTCATCATTTCCACCAAAATCCAGTCATATAGACACAGATCATTTAAAGTTACATTACTTATTTTGTTTTAGTTAGCAAATTCTCACGTAAGGTTTGGGATTTAATTACTTTGGATGTCCAAGATCTCTTTTTTTAGAAATTTCAAGAGTTGTTTTTGAGCCAATTTAATGTAATTAAAATATTTAAAAATATTTTCAACAACTTTCGGTTTGAAAAACGTTTAATATGATTTTAAGCGTGTGTGTGATTAAAAAAAAAATAAATATAACGGTTTAAACACTAACACTATACTTACCTTATTTTTATATTATTAAGCGAAGACCTATAGCTTATACAATCATTTGTTTCACATTAAACATGTTCGCAATGCAAAACATTTCATATTATTTATACAGGCCATATAAAATTTATATACTTATTAATATATACGATTTATTGAAACACAAACGGGGTAAAACGGGAATATATTGAACTGGATTGAATATATCGAATTGCCTGTCTTGACAGTATATCACTCCGTTCAGGAGTCAAGAAAGGAATGTTCACGTCGCGGCACTGTTTCTACTAATCCTTTTACCACTCACTATACAAGAGAAGATTTTTTAGACCTAAATCGACATGGCTCTACAGATTATGATCTCTTGAATAGATTCGATAAGAAGAAGACTCCTTTCAAATTGTATTTAAACAAAGAACACAGCCATTTTAACGAGAAATATAGAAAAAATATGAAATGTGAAGTACTGTGTGACATAGAGAAATATCATTTAACAGCATCTTTTAATGATTACCACATAAAAATCTACGATTATTTATTTTTAATCGAATTATTACTAAATCAATAGCTTTGTGTTTTTTGTCTATTAGCCATCTGATGTTAAACGTACGGTTGGAGTTGACTCGTATTACATTAATGGTACTGACTTTGCTATCGAAGCCGAAGATAGAACCTTTCTTTTTGAGGTAATGTCTTCATGCCTCTTGCATTGGTATTTGTTGTTTTTCATTTGTTTATGATATTACATCAAATAAAATCAAATCACATTCTGCTTGAAAATAGAGGGCAGTGTTCACTATATACTTTAAAACCAACATTTATGGTTTTAGCTACTTTATATTTACTAGTTAAATCCGAACAATAAAGAAAATAACCAAATAATAATATGCGAAATGATGTGTACTTTTATGTTATTACAGCAAGGATACCGGGCAACTGTTGCTTATCTGGAAGAATTTGTAAAGAGCGGAAAAGCACGCAGAAAGTAGGCCTAATCACTGTACAAATGAGTATGGTGGCGAATACAATAGGCCTATTTAAAGATGAAGATCAACTCGTTATCAACATAAAATGAAATTTGTTGGGTATTATAGCATTTGATCTGTATAATTAATTCCTGAATATGTTTTGAATTTGTTTAAACACTCTAATAGTTGGTTCAGAGTTTAATCCTAAGAGAGAGCAAACTGGCAATCAGTTCATTTAAGTAAAATATCATTTTCATGATTACAAATATAGGTGTAATATCGAGCTTAGCGTTTTTGGAATGTTTAATGAAGGTGGCAATTCAGCCACAGCTGATAATTTGGAACCTCACAATGTTTATGGTTCATTTTATTCAGTCATATGCATAAATACATAAAGTGTGTGTGTGTGTGTTTATTTATACAAAAACGTACATGGCACGACAAAAGAAATATACAATCTAGAAAATGAACCTAGCGTATTAAACATTTAAAATAATTTAATTTATTTTTAATGGTGAATTATTATAGTATGTCTTTAGAATTATTTTAATAATCTTAGGCATATTAGTAACCAAAAATAATAAATTGTTAATGTTCCCCAGGTATATCGGAATTATAGAGGTATGTATATAATAATATATTTTTCACGTGTATTCTGTTTTTGTGTTTTTGTATTCTGAAACAATTTATTTGTCTACTTTGATCCAATTATTGTAATATCCTGTTTCAAAATTATTACTAGAATGTGTTTTAGATTTTTCTATTTTATTTTCGAGACACTGGGAGTTTTCTCAAGCTTACGAAAACGGTAACGAATACGGTTACGGATGTCGATGGATGGCTTTTTTTTTGGTGTGAACACCAAGGATAACGCACATAGGGGCCTAAGTCTGAAGAAAACTTATTTCCAGTGGGTTCCTGGTAGTGCTTGGGCAGTACACCGGGACACAATTCCCTACTCTTTTCCGAAGGGTGTACTGCATTCTTTAACGTGTAAATGGGTCATTTTGCATACGGGACAAACAGCTTAAACGTCTCCGAAAGACGGTGTACTTTTGAAACTTATTTTAGCCCTCCAGCAGAAACACTAACAGAGCAGCGATGGGAATTGAACCGGGAACCAAGAGATCTCGATCCTCGGTTTAGCGCGCACACAGTGTCTACCGCCAGTTTAACCGACGAGCTTGATTTAGTACGTCATCAAATATTTAGAAAGCCTCCGTAAACACATATGTCACAACGTAGGCGATTCATGCCTTTTGCATGAATGAAGGATCATATTCAACTCGTACAGCATAATATTGTCAAGAATGTTTTAGGCACGTATCACAATAATGAGTATTCGTTATCGCTTTCTTGAGGCTGCGAAACATCCCTATTATATTTAACAAGCGATTTCTTAATAAACTAATAACACTATAAGCTTGCAGCACGTTAAATACGCCACAGATAGTGATCATATTAACATTAATGAGCACCCCCTAGTTACTTTTTCTAATAAGCGCCGTGCTTAGCATAAAAAAATGCAATATAAGCCATGCGGCATAGTTGAAGGGAATTACGTTGACTGAATACAATATGTATACGCCCACATAAGATTTAATAATGCATATCTAATAATAAGGAGTTTTAAAAGACTTACTATTTAGGCCTTCCAACTTTTAGACTTATTATTGCAAATATTTTAAAGACATTTATGTAGCTGTTTATATTTGCAAAGTTATCACAAGGCTTGTTATTATTAATTATATACTGTATTATAAAATTATAAATGATAAAATAGGCCTATATAATTGTTTCAATTACATTATATTACCGGTCTAATGAATGGATTGCTAGCACAAAACACGCAGCATGAGGCTAGATCATAAAATATATACCACAGACTTGATTTGGTTAAACATTGTAGTCTGAGTTGTTTTGTTCGACGCTAGTGTAATGAAAATATGGTCAATAAAATAAATACCACAGACTTGATTTGGTTAAACATTGTAGTCTGAGTTGTTTTGTTCGACGCTAGTGTAATGAAAATATGGTCAATCACCTTTCATCACTACCACCGTCCCCACCCCCACAGACCTATTATTGCAAATATTTTAAAGACATTTATGTAGCTGTTTATATTTGCAAAATTATCACAAGGCTTGTTATTATTAATTATATACTGTATTATAAAATTATAAATGATAAAATAGGCCTATATAATTGTTTCAATTACATTATATTACCGGTTCTAATGAATGGATTGCTAGCACAAAACACGCAGCATGAGGCTAGATCATAAAATATATACCACAGACTTGATTTGGTTAAACATTGTAGTCTGAGTTGTTTTGTTCGTCTAGTGTAATGAAAATATGGTCAATCACCTTTCACCACTACCACCGTCCCCACCCCCACAACCATAGAGTTCTCTTATGCATAATTAACATACAAACGCCATATTGTTATTGGTGGTCTTATCGTATCCTTAGCATTACATTGATTATCAATATACCTAGAGTGTACATCAAACCTCAAAACTGATTTATCCCAACAGAAACATATGTAGGCTGTTGTCCCAAAAAAACAAATGCTGTCCCAAATAAAACACATATGCTCCCCTACTCTCCAAAGACACACGCTGTCGTTTTGTGTTACTTTTCCTATATTCAAGGGGCGGGGGATTAGTGGAAAGGTATATATATCACCTGTCACTAATGCCTTAAGTTGTATTATTTTTTTTCTCTTTTGTGGGAGTCACACCCACATTTATTTCAAGTACATATTTCTTCAACTTTCCATTTCACACATATTTTCACATATTACGCAACACGGTATATTATTAATAAACTTAAAAAACAATTAAATTAATATTGGTATAAAATTGGAAATGATTTACATGAACTTTTCATTCTCTCCTTTACATTAAATATAGCCTTTTAATAATATAAAATTGTGAATTATTTACAAAATAAATATAGAAATCAATTCATCATCTTAAAATAAAGTAGGCATTACATATTCAATGGGAGCAGCCCTCACTCAACAAACAACTTTACCATGTTAATTTAACTTTGTCATTCTGATTTTACTTCATTTCGTCTACCATTAATTATACATTGTTTTTATTCATGATCTTGGTGTTCACAACTTGATACGGTTGAATTACGTATAGATTGACGTATTACAAACTTCACTTCGCTTAAATAAGATTGCCTATATGGAATCTTTGTACACTGATGATGACAGTAGGATCTGTCGAAACATGTATGTAGCGTAAGGCCTAGCAATGGCTATGGCCTTATTAAATTGTTCAGGCATTGCCTGAAATGATCGTCCTCAAAAGTATCGTCATATTTTTGAATTTTATTAGTGGTTTATTGTGTCATCGATCATTTGGTAACAAAAATATAAAAAAGTAAATACAAATAAAACCATTTAATAAAACAGTAAACACAAGCTTGTATCTAAAATCTGATTTAAAAATTCTAAAACTCATATAAATAAAACCCTTTTTTATATACTTATATAGGACCCTACTTGTATTTAGATGCATTAATTACCGTATTAAAAATTCTATTTCCTACTCATTGTATAAAATCAGAGTTTTTCTTTTCCGTTGGCTCATTTCTTTTCGGCTTCATTAAAATTCCATGTGTATTCATTTGTAATTAAGCTTTTAATTTCTAACTTAAATAAGGTCCAACAATTTTTGGATTCTCGGTTTTTATTTTACTTTAATTTGTAGAATTAGATATGTTAGACTTACTTACAGATATACTGAACTAGAAAAATATGGATTGCCTAAGTTGTAGTAGTCAATAGGTTTATTAGCTTCCACAACAATTTAAAAAAGACGTTTAAATAATACTTAGGTCTAGTTATTGCATATTAAACCCTTAAATATCTGGTAGCATACCACAGCACTTTCCTAATACATTTTGACATTAAACATAAATTAAGGCGGAAGCTAGTGTAGACGAGTTGTTTTATGAATCGACATTTTACGAGAATTACAAGAATTTTTTCGGTGTGTGTACAAAAGGAAATTATGAAGAGGCATTGTTAGTTCGACATGTCCAAATTGATTTGAATGTCATTGCTTTGGTAACTCTTTATGATACTAGGAGTCTGCTATTAACAACGCAGTTAACCATAATTATTATTAGAAAATTTGGAACACAATCTTCTGGCGTAAATACCTCCATAGCAACAGAGGGAAAAACCTAGTTTACGTACGTAACCAACGTAAACAAAATGGAAAGTTTAAGTCATAAATATTCATGAGAAGCTTAGAAGGCGCGCCACGCAAGGTTGATTCATTGGCTAAAAGTTATTCTGCGCACGCTCTATGCGAGAGCGCTCTGGCAGGATTACATAGCATAACCCCTGGCAACAAATTGGCAACAAAATCATTTTTCTGTGAACAGGTAGGTGTGTTTCTTAAATTTTTTCTGTTAATAAACGAGTACATTTTACATGTATATATGATCCAAACTTTATTACTTCAATTCTGCTGACATATAATTAAAGAGTTTTATTGCTGTTTTAGCCATTTTCACCGGTTTTTTAAACATTTAAACTGAGACAATTAGTTAGGCTTGTCCTCTAGCTAACTAGGCGACAGGCCTAGCCCTAGGCCTAGCTCAGACCTAGTCTAGGCCTAAGACTAAGTAGACCTAGGCATAGACCTTTAGCCTAGCTAGGTAGGTGGATCTTATTATTGAGTCGTACGTGCTAGGCTAGCTCTAGCCTAGCATAGGCCTAGGCCTTAGGAATAATAGCCGCATTTTTATTTTAGCCCATGTATTTTCTTTTTCTTCTTTCTTTGTTAAATAGAACTTTACAATTTTATTTCTACTTACTAAAAATGCTGATATTATTACAAGATGACTGCTGCTAATGTTTACAAACAATGTAAGTGAAAACAATTTTTCTGACTGAGTACTACGCCTATTAATCAAATAATATTATCATCATCACAATTAAATTTTCATAATATAGGCCTAATAACATCAGAATACATAATTAATATATAAATATATATAAAATAGGATCAAAACTACTATCAGTATTTTATGTCATTAGGCTTATATACACTCTTTAGTGTAATATATTAATTTAAATAGGCCTTATATAGAATAATACATAGTTAAGATATTACTAAATTTGATATTTTATGCCTTAAAATGTACTAATGTGCAAAAAGCACACACAGCTTTTCCTAATCACTTATGAATGCCTGACATATAATATGCGAAAATGTGTGGTATTAGTAGTAAACGAGTGATAACTTAAATCTAACCACCTTTTTGCCTAATATTATTAGGTCCATTCCTAATATATAGCCTAATTTCTTTAAAAAATTACATTCTTAAAATTAAAAAAAATATTTACGAACATTCTAAATGGCACAATACCTAATGTACAATGTAGGCTAGGCCTACTAGCCCGACATTGTTGTTGACGCAGTTCCTTAACACACCTTTAGCCAAGTGAATAAGAAATCATGACCATTGAAATGGTCTGGGTACAGCAATGGCATTGGCAGAAAGACAAATATATTTCATATCATGACAAAATTCTAAAATATTTTGTATAATATTTTATCAATGCATACTTTTGCATAATCATAATATTATTAGCATACATATTGTAATATATTAATTAGTGAATAGCTTTTTTCTATTGATTATAAGTTGCTGTATATTCTATACTTCATCATTTGATCTTAAAAATGACACCATGAAGGATTCGAAACGTCAATCTTTTTTTTAGCGTTATTTTTATATTAAATATTTATATTGTTGTATCAATACATAGTTGTTAAACCTATTACTGATGAAGACAGCATCAACGATAGCTCTTTATCTGATGCAATTGCCGATATTCTTGACTTATCTGTCGAAGAGAAAAACAAAGTTGAAATTGCTCAAGAGCGTGTATGCCCGGGACTGAGTGAGATACCACAAACCTCGGCAAAACCCCCCATCTATCCAAGGAGCCTCGCAACCGCTAAGTATATATCTTCATTGGTTAACGATAATACTGACAATGATGAGGATACCCCTCCTATGCCTGGTATGCTAATACTTTTTTTAAATATTATTGATATGCTAATATATTTATTATTTATTAGCATTGATCTTTGTATTTATTTTAATAAAAATTCAATCTACGGAGGGCAAATATGTTGATATTTTGTAGAAATGAATATTCTAAAAGATAATATACGAATTATTATTAATAGTAATGGTCGTACTGGTAGTAGTGTTTGTTTTTTTTTAATTTTCGGCTGGTTTATTTTTTTTTAAAGTATAGTTGTTATGAAATCATATTTTGACGTAATTAATTTCTTTTTAAGGACCACAATGGAAATAAGTTGACCTTAGCTTTATTTTTTTGTGTTGTTTATCATTGCAATTTTATATTATGATCGAATAAAAAAAAATTGTGTATCTTATTTTTATTAGCCATTTCAATTATTATTATTATTATTATTATTATTATTATTATTATTATTATTATTATTATTATTTTTATTATTATTATTATTATTATTTCTTTAAACACACTTTCAATGACTTTTTCTCCGGAGTTTGGCTTTCAAAATACATAATTATGGCAATATTGTCACATTGAAAGTATCTGCAACATTTCACAATTGGAAACAGCAAAGTTCTTTAAAAATAATGACAGACTGAAAACAAACTTAATTTTTCGTTCTTCAAAAACACATAGTGAAGAAAACATATCTAAATTGTCACATTTTACCATCGTAATTGACTTTGACTTTAAACAACTCCAACTTCTCTTGTTTCAAAACAATTAATTACAATTATCCAAACTTGTCACAACACGGACTTAAACACCTGTAACCTCACCAGTTAGGTAACTAAAAGCATTTATAATTTATAAAAACTTTTGTCTACATTAAGAGATTAAGAAGCTTTAATTTTACAGGTTATAAAAATAATTTGCATATCACTTTTTCTATATAACAGAGGTATATCTTAGCAGTGAATCGTTGGAACTACAGGCATCTTTGGAAAGGTAGGATACATTGAACATTCCATTATACCCAAATAAAATTAATATAGGCTGACTCCTTTAAACCATGTCATCTAAACAACCAACTGTAGGTTAAATTAAGTTTTATTTGTATTAAATCGTAAAGTTAATACTCGATAATCTATCGCTTTTATAGCTGAGTGCAATGGATATGTGTGCAAATCTTATTATTATATTACTATTATAACTCATATTCATGATTTTTTCTTTTTTATTGAATAAAATTCATTGGTTTCGTTATTAGTAATATTATATAACGACGTTTAACTCTGAAAACCCAGTGTATTTTTATTGTTCTTTTTTATCATTTAAGTTATTTTGTTAAATATTTAAAACATTTATATTCCTAAAGCATTTTGAGCATATATTTTAGACTTACATAATTTAGTGGCAATCATACAGTAAAAAATTAGTTAATTCAATAAATATAATGAATAATATTATTAAGATTGCATCATTGTTGTTATATGCAGTCTTAGCCGTTCCAGTGAAGAGAGATGTGAATATGAGGGAGACTTTGACGACTGTGAGACTGACAGCACTGCCACCGGCTTTGATATCCCATCAATCTGCAGCTCACCATGTCAGAGCACCCATGATCTATCCCTTCTCAGCAATGACGACCTCCTTGACCAAGGGTTAGAATAATAATTCAATTCAATTCATTTTTTTTTAATTCAATTCAATTGTAGTCTTATTTGATGTCGTTTCTTTGTTAACATTTTTGTTTTATGATATTTGTAATTTGAAATTGAATTGCATTTATTCATAATCACAGTCATAAAAGACGTTCGGGAATTGAAAAACTTTTTATTTATACTGACAATATAAGTAAAACTGCACAAACAATTAAAATGACGGTAATTACAAGGAAAAGCCCAAGAAAATAAAACTTATTTCCACTGGGGTCCCTGCAAAAACAGAAAAATAATTTCACATTTATCATGGTAACAAAAAGTATACAAAATAGTATAATGAAAGCATATAATAAACACAAATGACAAAGTAACTGCAATAATGGAGATTAAAACGTTTAAATTAAATTAGGATGCATATACATAAACATTAATAAGTTAAGTAACTGTACTGTTAGTAGCGATTACATACAGTAGCTTCTTGTATGTTACATCAGGAAACAGTTAAGTTATACACAGTTTAAAATTTCACTGTTCCTGGTTTATCAATAGAACCCCTATTAGGGGACACCTTCGAGAGTGTCCCCTTAATCGAAGCGTCTCTTGAATAAGGGATGGGCTTAGCGTAGAAGATAATACTTTCCCTCTTACAAGGCCAACAAATGCCCTTTCACTAGAGATGCCACGTCCCTCAATAGGGATTTCTAAAATGGGACCTTCTATACAGAGCCTACCAAGAATCCCAGAAATAAAATCAATATTTTTATAATTAAAACCAAATGCATTTATTTTACAGAGATCTAGATTATTGGGAAGACGTTACCTACAACTTTGTTGCTTCAAATGAATCACATGACACACATGTTGCTTCTGATGATACAGATATCCAGATGATGTCACCAGCAATAGCTAATATGTCTCCAAATTTTTCTCTTGACAATGAGTTGGAAGGGTTAGTGGATTATAATGTTATTTCTATAAGAATAATTTTAATTATTTAAAGTTAATGAATAATAATAATTAATGATAATTAAAAAAAGAAATGATATTGTTTACAATGTGAGCAATATTATATGAGTGACATTCATAATACAGCATTATCTAAAATATACAGTATAATAACAATGAAAATACATAAATAATACAAAACAACCAAAAAATATCCACTCATTAAATAAAATGGCTACCTTCGAAGATCACAAAATATTGTTATGTTTGAAAACTGATAATACTTTATTTAACGTCATATCTTAACCATGGATTGTAGCCCAGTGATTATTATTTGAACAGCCACGATGTGTGGGGTTGGTGGTTAGTTCCAAAACTTGGCTTTAAGCCTGAAGTATAAATAACAATCCCGATCGCCACTCTGATTGCCATCTGTCACTTTGCTTGGGTACTACGTTTGTTTTGTCCAATATTGATAATGATGATAAGGATTTTGACTATGATTGCAGTATTTTTATTTATAAAGTGCGAGGTTATTTGGTTTAATTACTTTATTTCATTAAGGATAGAGTTTACAGATCAATGTTTGTAATGGGTTTAGGGAACATACTAATAAATTAATATACACACTATTTATTTAATGTATGGCTCTCTAATTTCCTTATAGACAAGAACATTCCTGGAAAAAATCAGAGGTTTGCTTCAGTAATAAATCTTCAATTGCGGTCTTACCTAAAGACACTAGTCAGAATAGTTCTACTGATTCCGACAACAATGAAGAAGATAAAGCTGTCGCACAGGTATCACCTATTGCTTCTGATGACATAAACAACCAGAATATGTCCCTAACTGCCCAACCGCAATCGAGTGTTGTTTCTGAGGACACTGACAGCCAGACGATGGGGGCAACTGCCACCTCTTTTCATTTTACAAAAGAGGAACCAACGACGATCTCAGACACAAGTTCCATCACTGAAGAGATTGAATCCAGCATCAGTGAGAATGAATCGTTTGCAACTGTAGACTTGACGACGATTCAACCAATCACTGACAACATCCGTTTTGAGGATGCTACTAGCCTAGAAGAAGTAGAATATATCATTTCCACTAATAAGAAAGGCAGCTCTGAAGAAACATTCCAAGACGAGTCGTCAATCAGTTCTTCAGAATCACCAATCACTGAAGATTCTTCAGTTGCTGACAATAACTTGAATGGGTTAGAATATTAAATTTATTATTTTAATAATATGCCTAACGATATTTTGAATAATAAAATAATGATAAAAATGATATTTATAATGATACTGGTAGTGATAATGATTATGGTGATGATGGTAAAGATAGGTTGTTTGACTAGTGGCTAATAATTAGCCTTCCCCTTAACTAAGCTTAAACTAAAGACAAACATCACAAAAGGAAGAAAGAAGAAAAAAGTGAACAAGAGAGCAAGGGTATTCGTTTTTAAGGTGTTCAATTAAATTTTGCTTCAAGTCCACCACAGATTGTGGTAGACTGTTCCAAAGTAAAATAACAGATGGATAAAATTATGATTTGAAGTTGATAGCCATCTGGGATTAACTAAGATACCAGGAGGAATATAATGAATTAACATAACGAAACGAAAGTTAACAATTTTAAGTAGGAACGACGATCTTTTAACGATAATAAATTAGATTTCAAACAAAGAGAGGATTTTTTTTTTTAATGCATTAAATCTAACCTAAGTATAATAATTTTCATTTAGTGTACAATGCATGCTCTACTAATTGCTTTATAAGTCAATCACCCTCTTTTAATTTTAGTTTTTGATAACCAACTATTGTAGCAGTCATCGGTTGCTATAGTAATATTATCAGTATACTGTGTGCATATTCACATTTAGCTGTGCGTATGCCGATCTGTGCTCCTGAGTACGTACGTGTTTATTTACACATCAGCAATACATAACAGTACGGATACGATGAATAAAAGTAATTGTGTTAGAAAGAACTTGTTTGTAATGCTATTTTGATAGACATTCGTCAAAGAAATAAACATTTCAGCATTCAGCTTAAGTCACGATTGACTTATAATAATAATTATATGCATAATAATAATAATTGTTGATAGCAAATAATATATTAATGATAATATAATAGTTAAACACTTGTATGGCAAGCCCATCGACATTTACTTGTTTTACTCGGTGTCCAGATTTGTGTGAGCATCTTCACTAGAAAATAATGATATTGAAGAACTGTAATAGGAAACTGTGTATTCAAGGAACAAATCTATTTATGCCGATTTGCATAGGTACATTGAAGTACTGTATGGTAGTTTAATAATGATTACTAATGTTTCAGAATAACTAAATAGGAGAATATTATAGATGTAGACATCTGAAGTATTATTTTTACTTGTTTCATAGAATCGTGGATTACTGGGAAAATGCAGAAGTTTGCTTCAGTAATAAATCTTCATTAGCGGCCTTGCCTAATTACCCTTCTCAGATTAGCTCTACTGATTCCGACAACAAAGAAGAAGATAAAGCTTTCGCACAGAAATCTCCTATTGCTTCTGATGACATAAAAAAGCAAAATATTTTCCCAATTGCCCCATTGGATTCAGCAGCTGGTTGCGAGGACACGCAAAACCAGAAAATGGAACCAACTGCCACCCCCTTTCATTTTTCAAAAGAGGAAGCAACATCAGCATCTGAGAAAAGTTTCATCATTGAAGAGATTGAATGCAGCATCAGTGAAAATGAATTGTCTACCACTTTAGACTTGATGGAGATTCAAACAGACAATTAACATTTAAATATCAAGTGTCACTCTTATAGCTAGATTTATTTTTAAACCGCAATTGAAATGATAATGTCATTTAAACTGTAAACTGACTTATGTAGGCGTACATCAGAAACTATATATTCCATGAAAATGAGTCATGAACTTTTTAATAATTCATACGACTTATAGTTATTTAAATTTCAAATGACATTTCCTAAATTGGATTTCAAATGATATTCAAAATTGGAAAAATGACCCACGCAAACTCAGTATTAACGATTAATTATCTGTGGTAAGAATTCTCTCCAATTGAATTATACACTCTTTATAATGGTTTATTATAAATATCTTTTAATAATCAAGTGTCAATCGTAGTTTGTATTTCAAGAAGGAAAGAAACCGAGTAGGTATGAATATCAATTAAGATATGCTACAGAATCATTTAAATTCATACTTAGTAACCTCATCTCAGGCTTATTATTTTAATTATTAACCATAACTGCACATAAACAACATTGCAAATGAGGATGATATTAAGGTATGCTATTAAAACAGTTTTCAAAAAGTAATGTTGAAAAAAACATTTATGCATAGCTTATTTTCCTTAGAAAAATTTGATAAAAGAATAATATTACATATATACTTTCTATGAATTATAATTGAATTACGATAATTATAATTTAATTATATATATATCAATCTTGGATTACAAATCACATTCTTACTTTCTACCCATAATTCTGGCTAGCTGTTATTTATTTATTTTTTTTTTCTGTTTTAATATCTGATAACTATTACTATGCCAAAACCTCCAGCATTCATTTCAAATTGCAGTGTTAATTGATAATCTCCATTATGGACCATCTGTTTACTGCTTGAATCAATCAATCAATCAATCAATGGTTAAGTTGTCTATATTAATGAAGTGATATTTCTATGAAATCGATTTGTGTACTATCATGCACTTCTTTTAAATTTATGACTTATTAACATTTAAATATCAAGTGTCACTCTTATAGCTAGATTTATTTTTAAACCGCAATTGAAATGAAAATGTCATTTAAACTGTAAACTGACTTATGTAGGCCTACATCTGAAACTATATATTCCATGAAAATGAGTCATGAACTTTTTAATAATTCATACGATTTAGTTATTTAAATTTCAAATGACATTTCCTAGCTTGGATTTCAAATGGTATTCAAAATTGGAAAAATGACCCACGCAAACTCCGAGATTAACGATTAATTATCTGTGGTAAGAATTCTCTCCAATTGAATTATGCACTCTTTATAATGGTTTATTATAAATATCTTTTAATAATCAAGTATCAATCGTAGTTTGTATTTCAAGAAGGAAAGAAACCGAGTAGGTATGAATATCAATTAAGATATGCTACAGAATCATTTAAATTCATACTTAGTAACCTCATCTCAGGCTTATTACTTTAATTATTAACCATAACTGCACATAAACAACTTAACATTCAGCTTAGTGCATGTTTTTTCTGTAGATTTAATTTAGTCAACATTATCAAATTTTTATATCAATATCAAAAAAAAGGTATATGGTCATATATAGTAATGATGTGCCTATATATTGTCATGATGTGATCTCATTATTAACCGTATTTAGGCATTTCCCATGTTTTTGTCAATAAAATTTGATAGCATGGGGAGGGTTTACAACAGCATTCTGTTCTGCCTAAGCCAAACCGACTCTAAAGTTCATAAATTTACGGTTAACTTCTTTTGCTAAATTTTTAATTTTTACCAAAAGGTCATAATAATTGTGTGATATGAAAGGCCACTTACCACACTTTAATTTACATATTTAATACTTACCTTGTCATTGATGTTAACCCTGTGGTTGCCAATTTACCAACCGAAATGTATGGGATGAATGATGGCTGGTAATAAACCGTAAAATTAAGCCTAAATCACTACGCTTGAGCCACGCAACACATTTTAGCACACAATGTGTAGGGGAAAACAAATTTCATCAGAAATGTGCCCATAGGTTTTTTTTGTTTGCATTAATTTAAAGATGTATTGACACTTAAAAATGACCAAAAAAAATCTTAAACATAATTTTGAAATTAACTTGCTCATTTTCAATCAATCAATCAATCAATCAACCAATGGATTTATAAGGTGCATAATACAGCAGTTTCTTGCAGTAACATACAAATTATTAACTTGAGCATAGAAAATATTAAATTTAAAAAATGTGTACTGTGATTTTAAACTAGATAATAAAAACAGAAATAATAAAACACTTCCAGTGAGTGGAAGTGTTTCTTTTTAAAGACACTAATTTGTATATACTAAGTTGATCATTTTTATGTTTAATACTTCAAAATGGGCAAATTAGTTTCAAAGACGATTTTTAAGATTATTTTGGTATTTTATATGGGACAATACATCTTGTTGTCTAATGTCTAATCATACTACTAAAACCACCCATTGTTTTGTCTCACACTTTAATTAAAATTATAAAAGATAAATAAATAAGTTGCAGCACACCATACAGAGTACTTCGTTATTTAAACTTTAGTTTTCGCATAACCATGGGCAGTAAGACAAGAGATTTTCTTTTAAACAGTAGTTGAATTATAGGTTAATAATACTTTAAATATACATAATCTTTTTAATGCTACATTTGTCTAATAATACATTAACACGTCTTGATGCTTTTGTTTGTTGTTTTTGGCGATAATATTACTACTGTATATTTATTTAGTGTTTTTACCTTTACAAGTTTTTAAAGTGTTTTCTTTAGGTGTGATTGCCTGTTACTAATTATATTACATTATGTGTTGTCAATTAACTAACACAATTACGACATAGCACTTATAGTTGTATGCAGTAATGTGTACTGTAACTTACTATTTAATTTATTATATAACTAGAATTAAATTATGTGATCATAATATAATGACAAAATTTGATACGATTGGAGATATAATATTAAATGAAAATAATTATGATGATGATAATAAAGTTGATTATGATCAAATAATGTTTCATTATGATTATAATGTTTGAGTATGACAATATTGAAGATGATGATTAAAATAAAACTGGTAATAATGATGACGTGTTGATGATCATGATAATGACAACGATGGTCCTGATGATGATGATGATGATGATGATGATGATAATTAGCCTGCAATAATTATTTATACACCTATTTAATAATAACATTAACAAATTGAAATATTTTAGGAAATGCTTATGGGAATAAAGAAGCTTGCTGATACATTAACAACTTCCTTTCCATAACACAGGAAGAGAATGAAGATGTAATGATATCAGTTCTGGAGGATAGATCCCGACTACAGGACCAGATCAAACAACTGATATCCAAATGCGACCGTCTGGACCAGGACAAGAAGAGACTCTCTAGCGACCTTTCAACCTTAAAGATTGAGATCCATGCATTGGGAAATGAGAAGCACAGCATTTCAGAAGAAGCCCAGGCCCAATTGAAGGCCTCAACAGACATCATTAAGGCTAAGAACGTAGTCATTAAAACACTGGAGGATGATATTCTGCGTTGCACAAGTGAAGCTGAACATTTCAAAGAAGAAAACATGTCCCTGCTTGCTGATGTACAGGATTTACAGAGGTAGAATTGTTTAATATGTAGCCATCAATATCTTTTCAATAAAACACAGATTGAAAATAATAGTTTATAGTGATTTACGGAAATTATATATTACGTTAAAATGTGTGCTAAAATTATAAAAATGATATTTAATCATCTGTTAATTGACGGAGAATTCTCTATTAAATTTTAGTTAAAAAAGCAAATTTATTTTAGTATAAAAGTTAAAGTTTTTCTATTCCTCTAGAACTGTTAATAAGCAAAATTTTGTAGCAGAAACCTTACTTCAGGAGAATACTACCCTCAAACAAGAAGCTGAGAAATTTACACTGTCTCAGGATAAAAAGCAGTAGGTTTTGCCAAAAAAATTTGATATGTGAATTTGTGCAAAATATGTGAAAATTATTTCTATTGAAGGCGACCATCAAAAATTGATGCATATAAAATAGGCGTACTAAAATATTGAATAATAAAATTTCATAATATATTATAATATATATACATATTATATATAATGTATGTATATAAACAAATAAGTAAATGATAATAAAATTGCATAATTAATGCCATAGTCAGCTATTGGGACAGTTGGGACAGTCCCACACAATTTTTCTAATAGGTCCACAAAGAATGGGTCCACATTTTTAAAAATGGGTCCAAATTATGCAATTTTATATAAAATGGGTCCATGTTTCTCACATTTAGCCTAAAATGGTTATTTTTTTTTAGAAAATGAGTCCAGATGTTTCATATTTTTGCGTAAAATGGGTTAACATTTAAGAAAATGGGTTAACATTTAAGAAAATGGGTCCACAATATTTGAATTTACGTGTAAAGTGGTCCACCCTGATACTGTCCCGCACTGTTTGAAAATCCTGGCTACGCCATTGTGCATAGTATATTATTTATATATATATATATATGTACATAAACAAATATACGCTTTCATCAAGTGAGAGCTAGTGATAGGCTAAGTATACAGACATACAAATAGGTCAAATAATTAAGAAATGGGGCACACATAACTGTTTGTGTTTTTATGCAGGGCTCTGAAAGAGATGTTATCAATGACCGAAGAACTCATAAATGAAAACAGTGAGCTTAAGGTCAAGTTAGAAACTGCCACAGAGTAAGCAATTTGAAAATCTCTATTGCGGAATAAAGCCACACAATTATAAATGTATTAAGTTCAAAAGCAATGATAGTAGAATGCAATTTTTAACAAATAATAAGACATGTTAAACCTGAATACATTGTATATTATCTTCTTGTAATCTTCTCTGTTAGGAAGAAAAAACGTATAGACTTTTATCTTAGATTCTTTTTAGAATATTTATTTACATTCGCTTTGCCTCCATCCTCACAATTTAGGGAATTGGACGAGTTGGTATGGGAAAGTAAAGAGTTGGAAGAATACAATATCTTTCTGGAAGAGCTTATTAACGAGAGCGACAGAGAAGCAGCTGGAAGCAGAAAGGACAGTGACAAGTAACTACCAATCATTTTCCATGACTTTATTTTACTTATACCTAATAATTTGCTAAACTTACTTGAATTTTTTGGCTTTTTTTGTTTTAATAAATGTAAGCAAATTCTAATATAGAACTAAGATTTTGGAAATAATCATTTGAAGATAATGCTTCTTTTAAGTTGTGTATTTGTTATTGTTTCCATATTTTTAGAATTAACGATGCTTTGGAAATTGAGAATGCACTTCTGCATGACAAATTACGCCACTTGCAATCTCAGTTAAGAAAAGAGAGGAAGGCAAGTTACCTGACTGGAAGTCGTAAACTCAAGTAAGTTTTTCTTCTTAATAGCGTCAACATATTAACGGTGGATGATGTTTCATGCTTAGCAAATTCGTTTATGCATTATTGTAGAAGGTGGATATTTCAATGCCAAGAGGTTACTAGCACTCTTCCCAGAGAGTGCTATTCTAATGTGTTTTATTCAATTTGTTTCAGAGCCATTCAAGATCTTGAGCGTAGACTGATTGATCTTAAGTGGAAGAACAACGCCCTCAATGAACATCTACTTGCCGAGCAGTCGAAGTCTGACTTCAACCAGTCTACCGTAGTGGAGTTACAGAAACGAGAGCAAAACCATAGAATAGAAAACCAAGGTTTGCATGAGCAGTTGGAAAAGTCTAATAAACATGAAGTTGATCTTCGCAATGAATTAGCTGAAATGAACAAGCTCCTGCAAGAATCTGAAGACAAATACAGGTAACTACAACCATTATTATTAATAAGTTTAATAAACCATTATCATCATTGTATAATTTATATACAACTTTTATATAATTATATTTACATTGTATTTTATTACTTATATTAGCAATATATTTATTTATTACTTATTACACGTATTATTAGTGACTATCAGGCTATTGTAGCTAACAACAGCAAGCTAATGGTCCAGAATGCAACCTTACAGGGGTTTATTGAGCAGAGACGTATTGGATTATCCTGCGGCAACGGCAACACTAATGGCAGCAAATCTGGCTTGCCATTGAATGCATCCTCTAGCCCCAATGTAACATCATCTTTGACAAAAGAACCAGACCAAGAAGTACACCAGATGGCAACAAGTGAGGTAAATACATTACTATGCAATGTAATTACTGTCAAGCCCCTTATGATAAAGCTCAGTATTATTTACTTAACTATACTCGTTTTCTTTTGATGAAACAAAAAATAAAAGTCATAAACTGTGGTTGTATTGATTTAATTTGATAGGGTAACTTGGGGTTAAGACACACAGATAATGTTTACATTCATTTTTATTCTATCGATTTTTTCATTTTGTTGGAGTAGAGTATAACTCTACTTTGACCCAGACAGCGTAGGTCAGACTCCATTATAAATGATGATACCAGCATAATTAATTTGATCTGAATATTGACGAATGTATAATTTATTCCTCCGTGATTTAAATAAAGGTGGTTTCAGTTAAAGAAAGGGTATCTATTTTAAAAAAGTTCAGATGAAAACTTTGTTCACTTGTCCTTAATATTTGGACAAAACAAAATGTACAGTATAGATGTTTATGAATTCAAATTTAATTGTTTTTAATACTATAGACTCCTGATGAATTAGGTCCTATCTTTAGCTTACAAGAGAGCATGAGTTTGATGTTTGAGGAGCAGAACAGACAACTTACATCCGTTAACCAGCTGCTGATTGGAGAGGTACAAGAAATAAAGAGCCAGTTGGCAGAGGTTTGTATTGTATTTTTAAGTCATGAGTGGGTTGTAATTATAATTTATGAAAATAAATTCATTATTTGTCTAGTGTATTAATCTTATCTATATAAGTAGCTTGATAGATGTGAATAGTCTTCAATAAGAAACTTTTTTTATTATTCCTTTTTTGGACAAAAACATCTACAGTATACATCTTTATTAATTCAAAATTTTGTTTTTAATGTTGTAGACTCCCGGTGAATTAGGTAATATCTTTAGCTTGCAAGAGAGCATGAGCTTGATGTTTGAGGAGCAGAACAGACAACTTACATCCATTAAGCAGCTGATGATTGGAGAGGTACAAGATATGAAGAGAAAGTTGGCAGAGGTTTGTATATTTGAATCATGAATCTATTAAAGCAAATTCATAAGGTGTATATTTATTGATGGTTAATTTTATAAATATAAAGCACCTTGATAGATTTTGATTAGTAATTAAAACTCACTTTATACCTACAGATAGATGCTGTTAAGAGTGTTAAAATTGTGGAAAGAGAAGAGAAAGTTGAAACATCTGATCTGTTTACTGCCACCAATGTGAAGGAGATGTCACACTTTTCAACAAGGGTAGCAACTCTAGAGGGCGAGGTGGAGAGCTTAAAGAAGAAGATCACTGATGTGGATAAGATCAATTGTCAGACGCTTGCTTTGAGGTAACTTGCATAAGACTGAATGAATTGATATAATTATAATAATACTTGTAGCACAAAATTATAGGACACTATTAGCCAGTCAGAACCTATGGAGCTCAGAATATTTACATTTGAATTGGCAATACAACACTTCATAATGTTTATACATTTATATATTTACGATGTTGCAAGTGTTGTAATGTTTTCATGTCTATTAATTTTATAAGCATTTATAAAATAAATATTACTGAGCAGCTGTTATAATGTTAGACTAAAATATTTTTACTTAACATTTTTTTTCTTCAAGTCAACAAAAGGATAGCAAAATTGAGTATTTATTGGAAGCAGTGGACGCATTGACAGCTAAGAACAACAAGTTAAAACATGGTATGTTTATGTTTTATATTATAGCAATTGCAAAGATTTTAAAATTAATCACCAAAAGTTATTAATTAACCATACCAGCCTAAGGACAAATTTTTAGAAAGCCAACGAGTATTAGTAATATGTACAGAATGACGGTTTAATCCAGCATTATCAACCGCTATAGATTGAATTACAACAACCTAATAGTTACAGCAAAATAACTTAATTGCGTAGCAGATGTTTGGTATTTCGATTTGTTCCTTGGTTTTGTTTTTTTTCAATCTAAAATTATTACTGGTACGTTTGTTATCTAAACATTTGCAGTATACTGCACTTTTTTTCCTAAGTGGATGTATAGCACCAATTAAGGAGTGTCTCGTTAAAAAATATTAACTGATAATGTGAATGTGGTTTCATTCTTGATGATATAATTAATGTCAAAATATTGAATCTCAACACGTTGGCGTGCATTTCCATACTTGGAGTATGTATTATACTATCTTATGTGTTCTGGCTCTAACATTCCAATATTTGTATTTTGGGAATTATTTTTTTCATACACAGTTTTTTTTTTTTCAATTTTTAGAGAAAAATAAATGGAAAGCCATGGTAGAAGAGTCCCAATTGACAATGGCAGAGCTGAAGGAACAGAACATCAATGAGGTGACATTTATTGAAGAGCAATACAATCAATATAAGACCAAGACCGACCAGTTGATTGACATCATTAAGGCCGATCTGTACAACAGAGAGAAGGAATTGGAAGCCGCAGAACACAAATTTCGAATGAGTAACATTGCTGCCAGGCAGCTGCCTGGTCTCGAGGAAAATCTCGAAGCAGCAGAGAAGACGATTAATTTTCTGTCAGGAGCACTGGATGAAAAAAACAAGACTTGCAGAAGACTGCAAGACGAAGCAGCTGAGACGGATGTTGTCGGACTACGTGAGAGGAATAAGGAATTGGCCGTAGACCTTGCAGAAGTTGAGCAAAAGCTTAGAAATATTCGACAAGAGAAGCAGGTTCTTAAGGGAAGCCTAGCTAAAGCTGATTTAAAGCTGATGGATATGGAAATGGATCTTGTGAGTGCTGATAGAGTAAAACATGGAAAGAACTATCTGAATATTACACAACAAGATTTTAACAAGCACAAAGGACACACTGTCATAAAGGTTGGAGAAGGAAGAGAGGTATATTTTATAATACGTATTATTTGGTATTTTTGCGTGGCTCTCATTTAACATTAAATAAAAGATAATATCTACCAGAAAAAAAGTGTGTTTCTGTATTTCAGTTTGATTCAACTACTTGTATTTTGCATGCTCGATCATTTATTTTTAGAGAACAGTGTTTATACGACCATTAGTCCTCAGGCTCACCATTCTATTGAAATAATACTGTTCTGAATATTCACGGCCATACCTGCTTTTCTCTATCGTAGGCTAAAACATGTGCCAAGTGTGCCGGTGACACAGCCGAGGCTCACAGAATAGAACAAGTTTCAAAGGAACCAAAGTGTGCAGCCTTTGAAAGCAAGACTCTCTCAGAGGTACAGTATGACTTAAAGATTAAAATTGTTCAGATAGTTACATTTAGAACGGTACAGTGTATTCTTGTATACCATAAATTTAAACACTATAAACATGATGTAAATGTTACCAATGCTGCAGCGAGAGTAAATGTGTCACATGGAAAAACATACTTTAATTACTTTTGGTATACTTTTGGTGTTGGGCTTTAAGCTATTGCTTATATGCCCCTCTCTGGACTCCCTGCTATGCTCTCAACATGATTAAATTGATAATGAAATGAAATTAGACTAGTTATATTCTAATAAAACCGATAATGCTACAAAGATATAATAATTTGGTATTATACAGTATCACCTTTTATTAGTGATCAAAATGCTTCCAAATTACATTGTAGAAGTAGGTAGATCAAAAAAACAGAACGGAGAGTTGACAAGCGTTACATGACGTACATAAATATTACTGACATATATCAGTTCAATAATTTGTATTTATTTGGACGTAATTTATTGACATTGAAGATACACGTATCATAATACTTACTGAAACAACACCATTTAAGCTATACCGTGAGGCGGTATAATGTATTATTTTTATAATTAATATAAAATACAACCTATTAAGTATAAAGGATGCTTGTTTGTGTTACTAAGGGATGGAGTACAGCTAACATAATGGTCGTATCTAAGGAAGGTATGATGAAAACTATGTTTGAAGAACAAGAACAGAGACTGAAAGCATTTGTGCAAAACAACATGGAAAAATCTAATAACCAGATTGACAACTTAAGGAAAAAATTGAGGAAGGTAGGAGGCATTAGTGGTCGTGATGACACTTGACAACAGAGCTTTATGCTAGGCAAAAACTGCGTCGGCTGGCGGTTGTACGACAGTCGGCTGACGATATTTCCGACCTCTGTGAGCGCCTAATGATGCGACGCTGTCTGCTGATTTTCGATAGTAGCCTCTTCTCAGTGCGTTCTTTAGGGAATTAGTGTGTGCCCGACTTTGCTTCTATTTTATACATTGGCTAATCATTAGTGGATACAAATAAAAGGAAAAAAAACTTATGATTAATTTTGGCAATATAATTATTATTATAGTTATGTTCAATAATACTGTAATAATATTTACTTGTAGATGATTTATCAAGCCTCAAGATCAAAATGTACATCTGAAAATCATGACAAGACAATTGATGATGACAACAGCAATGACCTAACTGAGGTATGTATGATAATTATACATTGCGAGGTCTTAATATTTATGAAAAACAGTACAATATTAGTCAAGATAATATAATAATAAACTATTTGTCTACTATTGTGTGTTTACTATTTAATTGAGACATGAATATTAACTACTAACTCGGTGCCTCGTTGCTTTAAAGAACAAAATGTAAATAATGTGTAACTGTAATTCAGTGTTGGAATACGTTATAATATCATATTGATATGAATTTGGTTTTTTTTTAAATTTTATAGACACTGAGTGATGTTACATCCGCATCATATCACTCCACTCAAAGTACAGAAGATTCTATAACAAGTGCAAGTGACAGTGACGTCACAGTATACCAGGAGCCAATAATAGAACAGCGTGTCGAGTAAGCAAACCTAGATCTCTTTCTGTGACGAGTTTCTTTGTTACAGAACTGCCAGATTATTTGTTTCACATTGTTTATTTATTTCCTTTTTTAAATAATATTTATATTCATTTGTTTTCATATGTTTTTTTCTTCCGTTTTTAACCCTAACGTTTTCTTGGTCACGAGTGTGTTGATTACCATAAAACATAAAATGTTTTGATTCATAATACAAGTATAAATTTATAACCGCACAACATCAATAACTAATTTATATTTGTTGTTTTATCTTACAGAAACAATTTAGTCGACACTGAAGAAACAGATATTAAACCATCTAGAGGACCCGTCTAAATTCATAAAAAAATATATATTCTTAGCTACAATTATCATTGAATATGAACGTATTTTTAATTCAGTATTATGACTTACATATATCAGTATTTTTATAATTGAAGATATTTTGAAAATAATTTGTACATTGACTTATATTTTGTATGCAAAATATAATATTTATGAAACCATAACTTGTGTGTTTGACGTTTTATTTTTTTTTTCATTATTTAATCCCTGATGCATAAAGTTTTAAAAACTCAATAATAAATTATTTTAGTGTGCAATTTTCATTCAACACATACCGTAAAAGAAGCCCTGGGCTTCTTTTTTTTTCTTTTTTCTTTTATTTATTTATTTATTTATTTTTGCGATCTTTGGATTGGTTTCTTTTCGAGGCTGTTTTTGCAAAGTAAAAAATGTGGCTTCTTTTCAAAATGAATGCAGTAAACATTGAGACTTACTTCTATTAAACAATAAATATGGCAATTGTAGCATCAGTATGTACCATGGAGTACATTAACTGGCATTAATTCACCTAACTGTATAAGCCAAGCGTGTTTTTAATTATTTATTTTAGTTCTTTGCAATTCATGTAAAGTGTATGTACTGTATTATCTATCATATGACATTTATTCAGGAAAATTCCACAACAAATTATATAATACGAATTGTTTACATAGGCATCAAAAGAAGCGGTGGCTTGTCAGTTTGAATACCAAACATACAAAAC